ATGGCACCCACAGTCAGGAGCCTGAGGCAGCTGGTCACATGGCACCCACAGTCAGGAGCCTGAGGCAGCTGGTCACATGGCACCCACAGTCAGGAAGTAGAGAGAGATGATTGCTTATAGGCTTGGCTTGCTTTCTCTTGATTTAGTCCAAGACTCTAGCCAATGGAATGGCACCACTCAATTAGCCTAATCTAAATAATCCCTCACAGACACACCCACAGGTGTGTCTCTTCAGTGATTCCACCTGTCAGGCTGACAACCATAACATCTAACCACACCTACTGAGAGGCGAACTCCCTAAGAAATGATCCTAAGGCCAGGCATGTAATCCCAGCACTTGACAGACGGTCAGAGACAGGAAGTCAGGAGATCAAGGTCGGGCTCAGCTATGTGAGAACAACAACACAATCCTATTGTTGGATTCCCCAGTCTTTCACCCTTACAACTGTTACTTTCAATCAGAAAAATCCCTTAGCAGTTTTTAAAATAGAGAGGGTGGGGGTGGGGAGAGGCACTTCTACTTCAAGACAACCGTGAAAACATGGCTGTTTACTCTCTAGTTTTGGCTACAAGAAAGTCGGAGATGGCAGTAAGGGGAAATTAAGGCAGAAATTTGAAGGAAAAAATTACATATTACCTACAGTAGTTCTATCACAACTATTCCAAATGCCCTAAAGGTCTCTCTCACTCTGTCTTCCTCTCCTCTCCCTTCCCCCTCTCCTTCCCCCCAATACCCCATTTAAAAAAATATGTTGTCCTTTCTGCTGACAATCACAGCTGTAAAGATGACAGGCCTTGAGGAAATCCATGGACAGGAAATTCTTCAGTCTGCAAGGCAGCTAGCAGTCGATCCGAGTGTGGCTATGCACTTTTGATATCGAGAGAAACGTTTTTTAAAGCTTCATTGTTCACATGACCACATCAGATTTTTAAGAAGCCCACCTTGGAAACTCCCTGGCTCATCGCAGAACTCCAATTGATTGAGAAAACGCTGTGAAGAAAATCACAGCTGGGGGTTTGGGGCCTTCTTATTCCCGAGTGGGCTTCAGCGGGCCTTTAAAATACATCCCAAGACTTGGTTCATCCTTTCAGAGACGTTGGGATTTTATTTGCTTCTTTTTTTTTTTTTTTCAATTCTAGGTTTCCTCCTGCGGTTTGTCCTTCAGCAACATTCTTTGTTCTACCTTGAAATAACACAGACAGCGATACACACCACAAGAGCAAGATTCATTTGCCAAACACAGCCAGACGCATGAATCACAGGACCGTTGAGAGATGGGTTTTCAGCTTGTTACTGAGGCACCAAACAGGACTTGCAGCCCAGCCGGCAGGCTTTTTGTTCCCGAGCAGATGTGAAATGTGTTCTCTTCCACTGGTGATGGGCCACAAGAGGTTGGGGGAACAGGCTTGGTTTAATTCAAAGTCACCTGAAACCTTGTTTGAAGTTCATTAAGGCAATTCAATTCAATTCAGCAAACATTTACAGAGCTGCCTTCTGGAGGTGGGGGGGGTGCTGCCTGTGCTTACAGCTTTGTGAGACCTCAGATACCAAGGACTAGCCACCAGAAGCATCTCTGCACAGCTTCTTCCCACCCGGCCTCAGTGACCCTCAGAAGACTACGGGGAATCACTGGGACCTGGTCTTGAGGATCCAGCTGGATTGACTGTTCAGCAGGCCCCTAGGATCCACCTGCCTCCTCCCAAGTGCTGGTATTAGAAGCACATGCCAGCATGCCTGGCTTTTCATGCATGGGATGTGGAGAGCAAACTCAAGTCCTCACGCTTGTAAGGCAGGCACTTCACTGGCAGGGCCCTCTCTCCAGCCATCGCTGGCTTGCTCTGACCACTTGGTATGAGCCAGCCCACAGAGCCATTCCCTGGACTTTGTGAGTCCTAAGTCCCCGCCTCTGGGGTCTCCATCCTCACTCTGGTCCACAAACTGTCAATGCATACGTCAGTGCTTCTCAACCGGGGGTAAGTTTGCTGCAGGGCAGGGGTGATTTGGGAGCGTCTGGAGACATCTGGTCACAAGGAAAGGTGATACGGTGCTAATGGCATCTGGAAGAGGACAGGGATACTACCTGATGTCAATGCGGTTCAGAGGTCACCCCCTACGAGAAGGCATTAGAAAGCCCCAAATGCCCACAGTGCTGTGACCGGGGAATTCCGAGGTACATCACGCAGTGTTTAACACTGCTGACCTATTGTGAATTCTGTGTTGCTGACACCCCACTTGGCTAACTCAACTGGGCTAATCCAATGCTTCTGAATCCCGGCCACTAAGCACAACCTCCTCCCCAAGAAAGATGCTTAATGAGTATAGCAGTGGTGAGAACTCACTTGTCTCTTCATTCACATACTCTATCCTGGACTCACAGATAGTTATTGACTTTAAGGGGCATTTCCTTTGTTTGTTTTGAGACAAAATTTCTCTATGTCATTCAGGCTGACCTTAAACTCTCTATCATCCTGCCTTAGTCCCGTGAGTACTGGGACCATGGGTTTGTCCCAACATACCCAGCTTGAATATTTTTCTGGGGATGTCAAGATGGATAGTAGGTATGTGATATGAGCAATAGAGACACGGTCCTACCTAAGGAAATCTACAGTCTAACAGGGACAAAAGAGTGTGTCAGGGAGATGTGTAGGGCAAGAAGCAAGGGGGACAGACCCGGGGCACCAGAGGGCAGAGGATTCCTGGAGAAAGGGGCAAACCAGAACATCTAGCAGATGAGGAAGAGCTGAACCAAGAGGAGGAAGGTGTGTTCTAGGTGGGAAACAGTTTAGCAGTACTAAGACCAAGCAATGGGAGAGCAACATACATCTGAGGCCAGAACTCAGGTGTAGGGCAGGGTGAAGACACAAAGGGCCTCCTGGCCATGTAAGAGCACCGGAAGAGTATGCCAAGGATACAGAAGGCACTCAACAGCTGTAGGCAAAACTGCAGCGAGATCTAATCTTGTTTATAGAGCATCACTCTGGCCAAGAAAATGCAAAGCATAAATTCAGAGATCGCCACGTGCTTGCCAGTCAGGCCAGTATGAAGGACACTGACAAGCGTCCTCAAGGAGGCGGAAGAGCAGGAACCTGTGCGCTGGTGTAAGAGTGTGACATGTACCACAGTGTACAGCGGGGTTTCTGAAAACAAGAAAAGAGAACTACTGTATGCTCCAGCAATCTCATTTCCGGGTGTACATCCAAAAGAACTGAACTCAATACCATGAAGAGACAAGAAACATCAACATCCCCGTGTCTGCTGAAGCACTAGTCACTGTAGCTCCAAAGTAGAAGCAACCCAGATGCCTGTGGATGGGCAGATAATAATAAGAAAAAATGTGGGACTGATACCTAGCAGAATAGTAGTCAGTCTCAAAAAAAGATGAAAGTCAGCCAAACTTGGTGGGCTGAGGCAAGAAGATGGTGAGATGGAGGCCAGCTTGGGCTACATTTAAAAAAAAAAAAACTAACAAATAACAACAGCAGCAACAACAACAAAATGAATGAAAACTGAAATCCTGCAGTATTTAATACCACGGTACCATGGATTAACCTACAGGGCATCATCCTAAGTGTAAGGAGCCCATCTCAGAAGCACGAACACCACGTGGGACTTCCAAATGAAGTAGCTGCTGAAATGTTCAACTATAGAATCAGCGGTTAGAAAGTGGCGCCAGCGGCTGGGGACAGCGGGCAGTGGCAGCAGAGGCGCTGCTTCCGCAGATGCGGCATCTGTATACCTCACCTCACCATGCCGCCGTAAGCCGCGCTTTTAAACGTGTGTGGAGGGGCGACTTCCTGCTAACAACCACCATACAACAGTCTTGGGGGAGAAGAGCAAGGGGAAACTTCAGGGGCTGGTGGAAATGTTTCACTGCTTTGACTGTGGCTTTGAAGGGCAGGCCCCTCAGATTGTATGTATTAATTATGTGTGGGATTTTTTAAGGTAACAATTATCCAATACTTTTAAAAGAGGTTTCTTTCTTTCCTTCTTTCTTTCTTCCTTCCTTCCTTCCTTCCTTCCTTCCTTCCTTCCTTCCTTCCTTCCTTCCTTCCTTCCTTCCTTTCTTTCTTTCTTTCTTTCTTTTGAAGTGGGGGACGCTCCCTCTACGTGTTGTGCAGTTTGAGTTGGGAGCTAGATGGCTTTGACAGTCACAGGGAAGAACTTCTTCACAGTGACAAATTACCCCAGCATTTAGATATTAGGGTTTTGACGTGAGTGAGGGACACTGGATCCTCAAAGCCTGGATCAAGAAAAAGGATTGCAAGCCAGGCATGATGGCATACCCTTGAGAGGCAGGAAGATGGAGAATTGGAGGCTCGTTTGAGTGGCATACTGAGTTTGAGGCCATCCTGGACTATATTGAAGAGTAAGCGCATGTCTCAAAAAATAAATAAATAAATAAATAAATAAATAAATAAATAAATAAATAAATAAATAAATAAAAAATGCCACTTTTTTTTTTTTTTTAAAAAAAAGGTGATTGCAAAGCAGAGAAGTTGAAATTGTTTCAATCTGGTTACAGTGAGTCTGAAGTAAGGTGGCACCCCAAAAGCATGTCAGCCTGGGGCTATAAACAGTAGGAGCAGCAAGATTGGATTTTTAGCGGAGTCCTCACTACGAACAGGGTTAGAGGCGCAGGTTAACGGAGTCGTGAGTGTGTCTGCTATAACTTAATACCAGCACTTGATTTCACTTGGTGCACTTTCAATAAACATTTATTTACAGTGAATTGGATTAAACTTGATTAAATTTGATTCCATGTTCACCAAACAACTTCCTGATTGTGAGTTTTGTCTTTTGGTGTGGGTTGAGTGTGTGTGTGTGTGCGCGTTCGAGAGAGAGCATGTTTGTGCAGGTGCATCCGCCCACAAGCACACCGTGAACTCCCAAAGTCAACATCACATGTCTTCTTCATGCTGGCTCGTTTTTGTCAACTTGTCACACAGATCTAGACAAACATCTAGGAAGAGGGAAACTCAACCAAGAAACTGCCTCTAGTAGATTGAACTGTGGCAGGTCATGGGGGCATTTTTTTTTTTTATTCATGATTAATATGGGAGTCCTAGTCCACTGTAGAGAGTGGGCAGGTGGTCCTGGGCTATGTAAGAAAGAAAGCTGAGAAGGCCAGTAACAGCATACCTCCATGGTCTCTACTTCGGTTCCTGCTCTGAGCTCCTGCCTGACTTCCTTCATTAATGGACTGTGACCGCTAAGATGAAATAAACCCTTTGCTCATGGCGTTCATTGTGGCACCAGAGAGAAATCGAGACCATCCCCTTGTCTCTCTCCACCTTCCTTTTTGAGACGGGACCTCTCAAGGGAACCAGAACGTGGCAATTCAGACTTTCTGACCAGAGAAGCCCTGGAATTCTCCTTTCTCCACCTCCCAGGTCCTGGACTACTGATGCACGCTGCCATGCTTGGGTTTGTGCATTGGTGCTGGGAATCTGCGCTCGGGTCCCCTTGCTTACACAGCAAGCTTTTTTCCCACTAAGCCGTCTCTCCAGCCCTTAGCTTTTTTTTTTTTCTATGAGCATAACCTGTTCTGATTGACTAAAAGGAAATCTTCAACTCTAATTGGCACTTCTATTTCTACCATAAGTAATGCAGTTGTCTTTGCAGGCGCCATATTGATCTCTGACACCTGTGGTTGTTTACCCAGCATCCTTCTCTCCCTCCTCCCAGCAGTACCCTCTTCCAGTCATTTACTTCTCCCCTTACCATAAATCCTTCGTGCTTCTGGCTGACTGGTCCCACTTTCAGCTGCAGCTGTCTGTCAATCATCACACCTCACCAGGACCTGTCCTCTCTAATGTCATTCAAATCCAAGAACATCGTTTAGAAAACTAGAGCTGAGGTGATCCCCATTCCTGACAATGTAGTTCCTGGACATAAAGGCAGCCAGTTTGCTACCAGATGGATGGTTAATTCCAGAGCATTGGTCTGACTAGACTATCATGCTCAGGTGGAAATGTTGCTGAGGAGGGTTTTCAAATACGCACATAATTTTTCAGTTGGGGGAGTTAGAGTCATGCGGATTACTCTGTGCATTAGGGAGTGAAAAGGAGGCTGCCTGAAGACAGGACTTTCCTGCAGACTGCCCCCATGCAGGGCCACAGCAGCAGCTCCTCTGGGGCTCTCCTAGGATTGCATAGACAGATTCTTTCCATCTCGGTCCCCCCACCCCACCCCCATTTGAAGAACTCGGACTAATACAGCTGTCATGGGGGAAGTCACTCTGAGAAGAAGAGACACATGAGAGGAGCGAGGCCAAGACAACCATAAGAGGGCATAAACAAGAGCCTGGATCAGAGCAGTCTGAAACCTATCCCTACCGATCAAGGTAAATTCAGTACCAGGCACCAGAAAGCCCACTGCCTTAAGCCCCGAGGAAACTTCATATGCCTCAGAGAGTACAAACTCCAGTGGAAGAAGAGACTCTGGGGTCAGCTGGGCATGGCCTGAGTTCAGTGATGTCAGCGGTAGATGAGTTCTGTCCCTATCCGATTCACTGCCCACAATGCCTCATCCCAGTCTCAGGCCCTCCTACTCACTGGTTAACACCATCAGAGTCACCCACTTCCTCTTTCTGATCCAGTAGGAGAAACTGGATTTCACTGGTTCTGTCTCTGAAAGGCAATACTGAATCTTTCCAATCTGCATTCACCCAGACTGAGGTAGGTTTGACCATCCCTGAATTATCTCTATCAAGGGTAGCAGAGAAGGGATGCATGGTGGGTATAACTGTCAGAACTTACCCTCAGAGCCTGGCCACTCCCTCTATCTACATGGCCACTACATTCTGTAGAGGACTGGAATGGATACCAGGCAGGCAAAACAATGCTTTGTGCCTAACCACTAAAAACTGCCTTTTCAAACAATTCTGAATTGGATTATTAGTGATAATAATAACCAAAGTCCTCTAACTCTCCACATAGTCAGTGATCCCATCCTCAGGATATGGTGGTCTCTTAACTGCTTGGTGAAATCAAATTTGTAAGCCATCAGGGTAAAAGATCAGTCCTTAAATCATAAGTCCTTAGGTTATGTCACCCTGTGAGACCCTGTTTCTCTGGTCCATACATCCCATTCACCCTCTGTTTGTCCATCCAAACCCTAAAATCCCCTAGGTCCATAATTTATATTAGACTCTGTGAAAGACTACTACATGATATATCCTTCTCCTTGAACCCTGACCCTTGTCTTGTCATGTCCATGCACAGGTCATCCATCCAAGATTATACACATTGCATGCCTCCCTTGCTGATATTACTAGGGTCTTGGAGGACAAAACATTAATATTTATCTATTATGATATTCAGAACCAGATAAACTTCTAATTTCAGTCTCATAATCACTTCAAGAAATGAAACCTGAGCTGGGTGGTCGTGGCGTACACCCTTAATCTGAGCACTCAGGAGGCAGAGGCAGGAAGATCTCTGTGAATTTGAGGACAGGGTGGCCTACAAAGTGAGTTCTAGCACAGCCAGGGCTACACAGAGAAACCCTTTCTGAAAAAACAAACAGACGAAAGAAAGAAAAAGAGAGAGAGAGAGAGAGAGAGAGAGAGAGAGAGAGAGAGAGAGAGAAAGAAAGAGAGAAAGAAAGAGAAAGAAATGAAGCCTAAATCTGTCCCTCATAAATGAGGAAAATGTGACCCAGGTGAGTTCAAAAGCTTGACCAGGTCTATGCTACCAGGAAAGTTTCAGTCCTGGATTATCTCTTTGCAAGCCTGTCTTCTTCCCACTGCACCATGGAAAATCACATTCCTCAGTCTGTAATACAGTCTGTGGTCCAGGTTGTGTTTGGTTCTGGTTGGGGCGTCTGTCGTCCTAATGCATATCTGATTGACTTATTATCATCCCACCTCATTCCTGCACTCCATCTATTATTTTTCTCACATTAGGAGTGGGAGACATTGGCCTCCTGCATCACAGAAAGACCTGCACTCCTGTGTTGTGGTCTCTGTGTGTGTCCACATCTTTACCATGATGCATCAAGCATCCTTCCTAACTCCTCTACCCGATTGGAGGAAGTGAACCATCAAGAATGCTCTTGCTTATTCTGCTTCCTGCAACTATCCCCGGTTTATGCACCAGTTCTAATTCTCATTCCCTTGGTCCTTTCCTTTATACCTCCAAATACTTTCCGTTCTCCTGGTGTGAAAGCTCACAATGTATCTCAGGATCCTCGGAGGCTTTCTGGTTCTCACTACTTCTCTCTTCTAACTTCCGCCCAACCTCCTTCCTTGTGTTTTTCCTTTGAGAACTGGCGGGCTTTATGCCTTGTACTCCACCCCACCACTAACATGCCCCCACACAGAGCTTCTCAAAGAAGTTGAAACTGACCTCTTTCTGAAGCAGTGGCTCTTTCAATGTTTTCCTTCCTCCTCCCATCTCCAGCCTCTGACAGGACAGTCCACCCACTCTTTGAACCTGGCTTTTCAGT